AAAAAAAAAAAAGATGCTAGGCATGTGGGAGTGAAATATGCTTCTCGTTTTGGGGGAATATTTTGTATGTATTTTTTATAACTGGGAAGGAAACACTTTAGAACTGGTTTTAGAAAGGAAGAAATATTTAGCGAATATCACTGATAGTTTTCAGGAATGGAAAAAAATTAACCAAAAGACAATTATTTCTACCAAAACTTGTTTAATTTTCAGTGTGCTCTTTTTAACTGAAAAAATCTTAAACCAGTATGAAAACTGTGTGTGAGCATTATTGCTTTAATTAGAAGCTCAGTTGTTAATTAAAAAGATGTTTCCATGATGGCATGTTTAGAGGAAGAAAACGAAAGCTTGGAAAGATTGCTCAGGAGTAGCAGGAAATGAAAGAGCCACACAGGAATGGAGAAACTTTAAAGCTCTGCCATGTTAGCTGGCATCATCCAAACACAAATGTCATAAGCCCCGCAAATGATCAGTAATTCTAACAGCAGCTTCTTCACAGAATTGTGCCCCAGTGGCAAATTCAGATTTTATTCTCTCCATACTGCTGGGGCCAGGTCATCCCTGGCATAAATGAGCACAGTTTCCTTCAGCTTAAGTCATAACTGTGTTATTTTGCATGAGGATTGAGGTTGGTTCCTAATCTTTCAGTAAAATGTGCTTTAGGAAATAGCTCGCTGTTTCTTAGCCCCTGTTAGCTAAAGAAATTTGTGCAGGGAATGTTTGCCTGAGTGGCTTTTTCTCTTCCATCATCTCTTGTACAAAGCTCCATAGAGAATGGGGAACACAATGATTATGAGAGAGCAGGAAAGGAAAAGAGCACTGTCTGTGGGAAAGCTAACTGCTCTGCCTGTTGCACGTCTGGGGCACAAGTGTCAGGGAAGTTTCAAAAATAAGGTAAGTGCAAGTTCTTCTGGTAACAAGCTTCGCTTTAATAGAGCTTTTTACAGCACTCCACCTGTTGGCTAACTACTGACCATGCACCTTGCAAGCATGTTCAAGCTGCTGAGGTGTTTACAGCACAGCCTGTGCAGCTCTGCAACACAAAACCAGCTCTGCAATCCGGACAAGCTTGGAAGCTACCCAGGGATTTCCCAAGCTGGATCTTATGTTCTCTGGCATGAATATGGCTACACTTCCTAAGTCAGCAAACGGGATCAGTGCTAAGACTTGGTGATAATAATGGCTTAATTACTACACTCTGAGGCCTGCTCCATCTTCATCTGGACCAACTGCATAATCCTTCTGCTGGAAAAAATGCCATTTTCTGTCACCTAGTGCTGCAGTCACTGCCTTACAGACAGATTGCGCTCTGGATCTCTCTTCTGTATTTTCGACACTCCGATGCCCTTATAACGATGTTCACTATTACAGATACAGGTTAATATCTGGATTTGATTTAGTGTGTCCATCATGCAAAAGCCCACGAGTAGCTTACTGGGGTCACATTTGTGCTGTTGGGCTGAATCATTCCTGTCTGATTCATATTTTGTGGCAAATAGCCAGCAGCTCCAGTTACATCAATGAGCTAAAATATTAATAGATACTAATCTGGCAGCTCAGAAGGGAAAAATAGATGGCAGTAATAAGGATGTGTCATTCTCACAGGCTTCCACATCCTTCACAAGTGAACTTGTTCAGCATAGATGAAACTGGGTGCATGGGAGCACCTGCCCTGGTTAAGCAAAGCTGACAGGTCAGAGATGTCTTTCTGGGCCTGCTCAGCATTCCCTGTGATTCTTTGGCATGAAGGAACATGACCCGATGATTAGATGCTGAGGCTGGCCATCCCAAACTGTCTTCTTCCCCAGCATTTATTTTTTTTTTTTGTTTTGCTTCCTGCAGGCCAGCCAGCTGGGAGTGTACCGGGCCTTTGTGGATAACTATGAAGTTGCTATGGAGACAGCAGAGAAATGCTGCCAAGCCAATGCTCAGTTTGCTGAAATCTCTGAGGTAATGTCATGGTACTCAGACATACGAGCCGTCTGGATCTGACTAATACCCTGCGATGTCACTCCTGTCTGTCCTCCAAGTATCTTTGCAGCCCTGACTTCTGGAGGAGTCGTGAGCTCCTGTAGACTCACGGCTTCAGCTCATGTTTCTACAGCAATTTATACTTCGGGCTAATGGAGGGTATCAGATAGACAGCCTTTTTGTGCTGGCCCCACCCAGGGGATCCTGTAAAAACTGGCATTGCTTTGAACTTCTCAGATTTGTGCCACCTTCATGCATTTCTAGAAGGGAAAGCTGTATTTGAGTTTCTCAAATATTTCTCTTGCTAATGATGATGCTGACTATGGTGTAAAAAAAAGTCCTTAATGACTTGCATTATGGCTATCAGTGGAATTGCCAGCTTCACTGGCGTGGAGAAGAGGAGAGGGTAGCGCTCTGTTTAAAAAGACAAATGTGTCAAGCATAATCTGTAATATTATCCACTGGGCTGCTCTGATTTCCTCTCTTTAAGAGGAATACTTTGTGTCAAAGCATTTTGAATACTTTTTCGGGCTTTTTCCCAGGTCAGCAGCTTTGCCTGCAGTGCATGGTCTCATTGACTCTTTGTATTGCAGTCATTATATCTTGAAGAACTCAGTTGCCAAGAAAGTACGAATTTCATATGTTTTTCCTTAAAAACAAGCAGATAGGTAATCAGAGCTGAATAATACTGGGGGCATTTATTGCTCTGAAAAAACTCCCGAGTACATTCAATATTACACGTCCCTTTAGATTTTTATGATAAAGACATCTTCCTTCTGTGAAATGAGGGAAGCAAGGCTTGCCTTTTAAGATCTGCTGTAGTACTCATCAGAGTGCAAATGTCTTCTAATCTCTCCTTTCCTGAGGATTTCCATCAGATTCTGGTCCTTTGCCTGACCACTTCTGTGCTCTAGTGTTGTCAACTCATTAGTAAAGTAACTTCCCCCGTGCTTACTTTTCTTTCAGTACTAAAATGCATTTCGTAGACTTTCCCATTTATTAATAATATGTATAGATAGCATTATGGTAGTCCCTAGAAGACAGATTAGAGATTAAGGCCCCAGGGTCCTGGGCTCTGTGCAAATGGCATCCCTCTGTTTTGCTGTTTTCTGAAGGATAATGCTGAAATCGTGCTAGTATCTACTGTATTTGGAGTGATGTGATGATACTTTTGCATTTGTATCCTGGTGAGGCTTTCAGAGCTTAGCACACTAATGCATGTAGCTTCATAGTCCATGTGCAAAGAGAAGAGTCAGAGGCATTTTTCCTTTTCTGCCATGAGAGAGGCTGACTTGTCCAAGGTCACACATCTCTGAGTACAGGTATAAGGAAGTATAACCTGGGGGTACTGAATCCCAATCCCGTACTTTATTTATTGGTGTACACATACTGTGGCAATGGATGCATCCTTATGGATGTGTCTTTTTCCTTCTGGTGATTTAAAAACTCCACCATCCCTGTTCTGCTACATCTCTATCAACATGCACTTCTAAGAAAATTGCTTAATATTTGAGATGTGTGGGTGCCTGTGACATGGCAGTGGTGGATTTACCAAGAAGGAAAGCACATTTTTCCTTCATTGACTTGAACTGTCACAGGGCTGTCCTCCATTCGCACTTAGGCCCTCCCTTGGAGGAGCAGATAATCTCTTACATCCCCATATATTTCAAGGTGATTTGACCATCTGCTACATGGGTTTTCTTCTTCTTTCAGAATCTAAAGGCTAGAAGCACAAAGGAATCTAAAGATCAGACGACGAAAAATTCCTTGGAAAGTGAGTGATCCATGCAGGGGAGACACGGGTTTGTCAGGACTGGGAGGGAGCTGTTGCCAAAACTCCACTCTCCCTTTTTCTTTTTAAATGCTGGAAGGTTATGGAGTCTTTGCTTGCTCTACCTGGGAAATCACTTGCCTTTTGCTAAGTAGCAGAGCTCATGCATAGTAAGCTGCATGCGTGCGTGCATGCATGCAGAAGTTCCTGCCCAGCTCCTCAGTCCCTTTGGGCAAAACCAGGCCAACCAAAGGACTGCTGTGATTTTAAGAGAACATCTGCTACCCAGTGGTAGCACAAAACACAATCCTAGCAGTTATTGTTATATGGTTTTTGCCCTATGGTAGCATCTAGAGAGCCTGGTCAAGATCAGGTTCCATGGTGCTTGTCTTTATGCACATAAATAGAAGGCAAACCCGTGTTATAAGAAGCTTCTATACTCACTAATATAAGAGCCAATCCCCTTCCTGTTTTGGCCTATTATCGGGATTTGGAAGCACTCAACATGTCATGCTGAACTCCAGGAGGAGGGATGCGCTGCCAACCTTTCAGGGACCTCCTTGGCAACTTTAAGAGTGCAAGGCCTGATTCTGACCTGTGGGACCAGGCAGGTTGCCAGGCAATGGTTGGAAGTGTGCCATGCTGTGTGCAGTTGTTCTGTAGTACCTTGTGTGCCCCTCATCCCCTGGCTGGCAGGGCATGATCACAAGTGAACATCTGTTTGCTGTGGAGCATGTTTATTTCCTCTGTGTGTTTGTGTATGTTTTATTGGCTGTGCAGCACATAAACCTTAGAGAAGGGAATTTTCCAATAGCTCATCGGTTTTTAAACCTGTGCTTGTACATACAGTTGCACTGGACAAGTTGCTCAGTAGGGGTTATATTTCAGTACCTCTTCCTCAGGTTCCTGCTGCTTTTTTTTCCCCACAGCTCTATTATACAAGCCAGTGGATCGAGTGACTCGCAGCACGCTTGTCCTGCATGTAAGTATCTGAAGCGCAGTTTTCAAACTTTAGGCCCATTTCCTATTTTCTCCACCCTTCAAATTTTCCATGGTGCTGCAGGACTGGAAAAATAAACCTGTCATGCTGCCTAAGAGCCTCTTACCTTTATACTAGGGGGAGGGAGTCCATAGGTAGGACCCTGCCTACCTCTTCAGTGGTGTTACCAAGAAGTACAGAGTATTATCCTCTTCGTCTAGAGGGAAAGCCTTGCTTTAATCTGTAAGAAGAGGCTGGAGCATCTCATCCTACAGGTCTAGTTAGGGACCCTGAGACCCTTCTGCTTTCCAGTGCTGCTCATGGCTCTGTTCTTTCTTTGTGTTTCTGGTGTCAGGATTTGCTCAAGCACACTCCAGTGAGCCACCCTGATCATCCACTCCTGCAGGATGCTCTGCGGATCTCGCAGAACTTCCTCTCCAGCATCAATGAGGAGATCACTCCTCGTCGGCAGTCCATGACTGTAAAGAAGGGGGAGGTGAGTCTTCCTGCTTTCATTATTTTCTCGGTTTCTAGATACTGGTTGTGCCTTTTCTGTAGAGCAGTCTAGGAAGTTACACTATTAATTTGTTCGTTGCTAAGATACAGTTCATGCAGTGTCCTTGTTCTCTAAAGGATGTGGTACAGCTCCTCTCTGTTTTCTGTTTGGAAACCAGTTTGGAAACCCAGAGGAAAAGTATGATTAGAGTTTTGTCCTTAGCATTGTTATAATTATTTGTCATACATAATTTCTATGATGTATATTGCTGTGCACTAAACGGATTTGTATTTTACCTGCAAACTGAAACCAAACAAGAAGCCTGGGAGGAGAAAAAAGTGAGGAAGCATCAGAAATCATAAAAGATTAGGAAGAGCTGTTTTCCAGAATCTTCATTCTTGCCATATTTTTTGCATCCTCATTTCTGAAGAAGAATGTTGTAAATGGGACTAGGAAGCAAACCAGATGGAATGGGTTGGGAAGGCTAAGGGAGGTGATTGGCTCCAAAGGGTGTAACAGAACTGTCCTTTGCTCTGCTAGGAGATGGACTACACCCAGAAAGTTCTAAGATATGCAGGTAAAGGAACTGTTGTGCAAGGAGGGCATAGAGCTACAGAGCAGTAAAGTGCTGCATGCCTCGATGGGCTTGGTTCATATGCCTCGTAATTTCATTAGAAAGCAATTCAGTCCTTCCTGATGAGGAAAGCCCAGGACTGAAAAAAATACTGAGAGAGAGAAGGATGTAGGAGATTGTCAAAAGAGAGGTGCAGCTCAGATAGTATATGTGTAAGAGGAATTGTGGCAGCATGCCAGAGACACTGGCTGATCAAAAGTGACCCAAATTACCCTGTACAAAAACATCTCTTTCAAAAATATTAAGATACCATGAACCTTCATGATGTATTCCCAAATCCTGTCAGATAAAAACTGATTTTCAGCTGACAAAGACTTACTAGAAGCTGCAGTACTGGGAATTTGGTGCACTTTGTCCTGCAAGTCTTGCTCATTGTCTCATTTTGTCAACTGAGGAAGTCTGCAGCTGAGAAAAGGAGAGGAGGGGCTGAGCAATTGGAGGCTGAGGTAGAAGCTCAGACATCAGTCACTAGGGCCTCAGTGATAGTAGATGGCCTCATTAAAGTGGATGCTGATTGAGTTGTAGCAGAAATCACAGGCTAGAATGCCCCCTCGCAGGGGAGGGAGCATTTTGTGTTCTCTGATTGTCTGTCAGCATCTCAATGAGGGATGCAGGCTTTGAAAAGTGTCATGCAGAATCCTAATGAGGTGCCAGAGCCCAGGCAGAGGGGCAGGCTCAGGGGGATGATCCTGATGATCTCTTTTTGGAGTGGTGTATTTGTTACATCTTAGAAAGCAGGTAAGGGGAGGCTTGTCAAGGCTGGGCTCAGCAGGCCTGTTCACACTCTCACTGGTCCTGTGGTGACTCCATGTATAATATGGGGAGGGAAAGAAGGGGACATACCCAAGGAGAGGGCTGTCAGTGTGCTGGAGGGGACTGGGAACCCTTTGTGCTCTCCCTCACGGCGCGCAGCTTGTACTGAGCCCAGGGAAGAAAAGGACTTGCTTCCCAGAGTCTGCCTTCCACTTTGGGAATCTGATAGTGGATACTTTCTTTAAATCATTTGTCGCCAATATCCCATTTTTTTCAAAGCGGCAGTGCCCCAGTTGACACAACTCTGTGTCTAGAGAGTAGGTCTGTTCACTCTCTGCATAGTAATTCAGAGACACAAGTCTGCTCCCAGCTACTCTGTGTGGGTTAGTGATGGCTGCTTCTTCCTACAAGCTACTCAGCCTGGGGTCATAGTTGGGTTTTGTTTATGCCTGTAAATCTTTCCTTTTCTGCTTATCCTTTCCTCTCACTCGCCTTGCTTGTGCTTCCCCTAGGGTGACAGGACAGTGTGCAGTTTGCATCTCCTAATTGACTGCTCTTAATGCATAATGCATTTTTTATTTTAATGAATCACCAGCTTGCTTTGATGGCTTTTTTTATTTGTCTTCCTCCCATTGAAATTTTCTTAGTGGAAAGGAAGGAGAGAAAACAGCCCTTTCCCCTCATGTATTGCTTAGGTGCTGATCTCAGTTATCATTTTTTCCCAGTCCTTGCCTTTTATCTGGAATACTTTTCCCCTTTGAGTGCTTTGTGGGGAGGAGTCAAATATCCTTTACCAGCCTCTTGCTCCAGCTCTGTTTTGCAGGATTGCTTTGAAGTGAGGAAAGCAGCCAGTTGTTAATCTCCCTAGTGACAGGCTGCTAAGGAGAGGAGTGCAGGTCAGGGGAGAGTACAGCCTCATCAGCACAGTATTCCTCCCTTTTGCAAAAGGTGATTCCCTGCTCCAGGAGCATCAGCTCAGTCTGACCTGCCTGCTGTCTTCCTGTGCAATGTCAGGTGTCCTTGGACACCAGCCCCCTGGTTCTGCTTGGCTCAGTAGGCTTTTTGTAATTCTAGACTTATGCATATAAACTGACAGTTTTCTGTGACATGTGGACCTGGTTTAATACGCTGGGCTGAATGAGTATTTCATGTAGTGCCAAATAGATGGCAACAAAGGGAGTAAAACCACTCACCAGAGGGCCAGAAGGGGCTACAACTGCCAAATACAAGGCAGTATTGGGTTAAGAATTGGTTATTCATAGGGTTAAGCCTATGAACATGTAGTCTGGTCCTTGCTGCCTGCTAGGCTGACTAGCTATTCTTCTCTGCATTGTGGTTTGCTCAGGGCTGCGGTGCAGAGGAGCCAGGAGAGCACCAGCCCCAACCTAACAACACAGAGGAGCCAGGAGGGCTTATCTGGGCTTTTGGGTCTGTTTCCAGTCACCCTGATCTGCTACATTCTCTTGCTCCCTCCTTTTCTTTCTATCTTTCTACTTCTGTGGTTTTACTTCTTTCTTTTTTTTTTTTTTTTGGTGGATTATCTGCAGGTAACCACTTTGCCAACCCTCTAAGTAACTAAACAAATGCATGGAGCGAAAGGGGGTCAGAGTAGCACTGTAACTTCTGACTCAGAATGCGAGTGGTGGAGAATCTTCCATCCCTGACGACCATGGAGCAGGCATCTTATTTGCTCACTGTTGATCCTTCTTCACCGCTACCCTCTTGACTTGAATAGAGAGCCAGTTTAAGGTTCTACTGGGGATGGTCCCTTGGCGAAGCAGGAAAATGAATGCTTTGAGGTGAAAGATGTGCCACTATTATGTGCCAGAAGGAAAGGAGTAATAATCTTTCTATTCTTATTAACAGAGAAGCTATATGGACTGTGTGGTTGTTCTCAACTAAGCCTGGATGCAAATGACTAGCGCTTGTATCGTCTTTCCCTGCCAGAAGTAAAGGCTTGTGTTTCCAGCTAATTCAGCCCATTCTTGTAAAGCAGGAATTGATGAAAGTGAAAAAAACTGCAGACTTCACTGGGAGATGGTGGTTCCTTTCTTGACTACTGCTCGTCTAATGCTCTTTGCAGGGCGTTGCTTCAGGGAAATTCAGACCAACCTGAGTGGTGGTGGCCCCTGGCCATGCAGTCCCACCCTCTCTGAAGCATTCACATTGGTATTTGTGTGATCCTATAGTGGCGTGGAGGAGTGGAGCTGTCTAAAAACAAGTTTTTGAGTTTTGGGTCACTCAGCTGGATAAGTGGCTTAGTGTCTGCTCTCATCAGCACCAGTCCAGACACAAGAGGGCTGACAGGCAGTTCCTTCTGGGACCAAGCTCACTAGATCACATGTTGAATCAGCTTATGCTACTGTGTGCCTTTTCCATTGCCCTGGAGAGAAGAGGCTGCTCGGCAAGCTGCTCACCCATGTTTCTAAATGTGGTTTTAAACTGCCATCAAGGGACTGTGTATGGTTGCCTTAGGCTCCCATTTAACTTAGTAAAGACCAAGTGTGCTAAGAAAGAGAAAGGACAAAGGACATTTGCAAGGGAGCAGAGGTGCAAACTAAAGCCTTTTGAAAAGCTGGGAGCTAAGCTTAGATACAGGCAGCAATGCACAGCTTGAGGCCTGGTGCCTACTGCTTCTGGAGGCCTTGGACAGATATTGGCAACAGAGCAATCAAAAATGATCTTGGATGCTTCATGCTCTGTCTTACAGATGGAGTCAGAGAGCTCCTGGTGACAGAAACTTTGGAAAACAAAAAGAAATGCTATTAAAATGCTCAAAGAGCAGCCAGTTTAGCTCCGTAGGCAGAGCATCCCTTTATTCTGCAATGCTGGTCTTGCAACACACACACACAAGGAACCATTTTCTTCCTACACTCTGCAGAAAGCCAAACCACTTCTTCCTCACTGACATATGCCAATACCCATCTCCTGCTTTTACCCTTCTCTTCCTGCATCACACATGTTCCAGTCCTTCCCAGAGCTCTCACCCACACACACTGCAGACCTCTGCTGTCACCACATTGGATGAGCTCGTTCCTCAGCACACAAGTGAGGAGAGGGCCTTTTGTACAGCTGTGGGTTCTGGATGAGCAGATTTTTAAATTCCACTTTTTGTAACGTGTCTTAGACAAGCTGGTCTTCTGCCACACTTCTGGGAGTTAAACAGTACGTGACAGCAGCAGGATTTATCATATGCAAGCAGCACAAAAACACTGTAGGATGAATAAATTAGCATACAGGTAGTCGTGAGGTTGGTAGCAGAGGAGGGGGAGATGCTCACTGACAAAGGTAAGAGGAGGAGGACAGCAATAGGCAATCCAAAGAGGATATCCAAGCACTGAAAGATATACAGGGAGAGCTCTTCTGTCCAGAGCACTGAGGCGGGTGGGAGAAGCAGCAGATGAAAACATGCAAAGGAAAGCAGAGGGCCTAGAAAGGAGACTTGGGACTTATACTGCACCAGTACAGGAGCTTTGCAAGAGCCACGGAAGGTAACAGTCTGTCCAGGCCCTGTTTGAGAGATTAAAGATGATCGTAATTCACTCTGTTATGATATAAAATAGGAAGTTTTTCCCCAGGCCTCCTGGAACATCTTTCTATAGCTGAGTTGAGCTCCTGTGCTGGACATCTGACTGTCCTGGAGCTGTCTGTGGAAGAGAGGGAATCACTCTGCCACTCTGCTGCCACTCTGATCCTAAGAGTATGGTTTTTTTGATGTTTATTTGGTGTTTCTGTAGTCTATATGTCATTTCAGGGTATTTTAGGAAACCTTTAGCACCTTTGGTAACCTTAGCAAACAGAGTAATTTTGGAAACAAGATAGATGATTTCCCACACAGGCTATTGTATGTCCTGTACAGCAGGATCACCCAGCCAAAAGACCTCATGTTTCAGGACACCACCAGAGAAATAGCTTTTGCTGGCCCGGGGTAGGAGAAGTTTACCAAAGTGGGCTTTGGTTCCCAGACTGCTAGAGAAGGCCTGTGGAGCTGTGGTGGCACTGGCATCTGACCTGCACAAGTCCTGTCTGAGGGGGCTGCTGGCTCCCCCAGGGTGGGGTAGGATGAGCTGACTCATGTCGGGAGGTCCAGGAAGGTGCCCTACACTCCTTTACTGTGGGGTTTGGCAGGGATCTGGTAAGCCAGTTGGGAAATCCTTTTATTGTTTCCCTCTGACCTGCTGACCCCTCCCGGCAAGATGAATCATTTGCAGCAAAGGATGTGACCCTTTGCTGGAAGCGTTCCTCCTCTGCTCCACTGCTGCTGAGCAGCCTGGGGCATGCCTGTTGTGCCCAGCCCTAACGAAAGTCCTGTTTTCCAAGAGAATCTGGTAGTTAGATCTAGTATCAAGCTCCGCAGCCCTGTGAGGAGAGAATTTCTGATGTGATCCACAAACTTTTTCTTCTGTCCTCTTCTCCCCTGATACTTGGTTGCTTCTGTGGCAGTGTACCTCTGCTCCTCACAGAAGGGAGACTTCCCAATTAGCTCATGACCAAGAAGATATGAAGAATGAAAAGTCTGGGAACCTCAGTGTTTTCCTCTGAGTGGCTGACTGGAATACATCCCTTTCACCTCTTTACTTCTGTTCCAGTCAAGCTTAGGAAGTACAGCCTTGTCATCTTCCCACCCAGCTCTCTTTCTGGGACATCATGCTGCCCAAAAACTTTTGCTGCCTCATGGTAGCACTGTGTCTTGTCAGTCAGGGTATTTTGTACCCAGGAGCGCTAGCCAAAATAAACTCTGTGCAAATGAGTGGTACCTCAGTCCCAGATGGGAAATATGAAGGCTATTGAATCACATCCCTGTTTTTGGCATTGTATGACTGAGCTTTCTGCTTGGGTTTTGGGGAGATGCAGGACATAGAGTATGGCTGCTTGGAGAAAGTCTGCTTGGATGGTGACGGCCGAGGACTGTGCAGTGGCAGGTTAGGTGCAATTTCAGAAGGCAGAAGTGGTGGCCTGGTTGGAGCAGGCAGGCCATGTGGGGGGGTCTGTAGCCTTACTGCAGGGAATACTTGATGGGCTCTTCTTTTCTTGCTTCGTGGAGGCCTGTCACAAAGGTTTCCAGTCACTGGTGCCTCTTGTATGGGTTTCCCCTTCACTTGAGGACATACTTATCTTCAAAGTACTCTGGTGTAGATGATAGTACTGGAATACTGCCAAAACCAGGGGTCTGATCTAGGGCTGAGCAGTAGTCCTTCACAGTCCTCCCAACAGCTCTCATGGGCCTGTGCCCTCCATTGCTTGTGAAGAAGCACATTGCCGGCCATGTTGTTGGCCTGTCTCTACCACCACAGAAATCTTCCCAGAACAGGGTGCTGAGTCTGTGCTCTGGACTAGCCTGGGGTATTTTTCAGCTAGGAAGTCTTGGCAGGGTGCTGGGCTGGGGTCTCGGCTGATCTCACACACTGCCAGTGCCTGTCAGAGGGTGACAGAAGGCCAGGTCACGACCATGCCACGTCCCTGCCAGATAGGGAAGGGATAGTGCCACGTCCTGCTGGGTAGCCGAGATGAGTGAGCTGTGAGAACATCTTTACACCTATGAACAATGAACAGAGGTTGAGCTGGCAACAAGCAGCTATTCTCATTGCCCTGGAGGAGCTGAGCTGATTTGCAGTGTAATTAATATGCATCAGATCTAGAAACCTGAGATCAGGGTTTTGGCTTGCTCAGAAAATATCTTTCCCTGTTTCATTGCTCCCAAATGAAATTCTCTGCAGTTGTGGAGAGTGTTTTTGCTACTGACGGCATACCTCCTCCTTTTTATTTATTTATTGTGAAAGTTCAGTGTTTCTAGTTTCCTACCTGGGGTTTATTCACCAGGCAGGAGGGGGAGGCATGCACAAGTGCACATCAGCAGCAAAGACATGAATGTAGGCAGGCATTCTCTCCAAAACCACTGAGGAGCAGCCAGGAGGATCACGCCCACCTAAAAATAAACATTAACATATGTACAGGCCTTTCTGAGCCTGAATCACTGCTGGATACCAGAACTGCACAGACTCCTGCTCAGAGATGGTGCAACAGTCTGCTAGGAAGCAGCCTTGTTTCCTGGCACTATGGGAAAGGTGCAACTTTTGCTGCTGCTCACAGATTTCCAGGACCTTTGTGTAATGGAAGGCACCAAGGGTGAGGTGCTGACGCTGTGATGTGTGCTTTATCAGCTAACTGTGGGGCTAATGCAGCTGCAGGCAGGAAAATGCAGACTCAGTCCATGTCAGGAAGTTTAGGGTGCTGTAGTACAGAGTGTGGAAAGAAGAATTATGTCTGCAAGGGCATTTCTCTGCCTTGTGTTCCTTGCCATGATGCCTGCTGGGCTCAGGACTGATGTGGTTTGTTTTCATTTTGGAGAGCCAAGATGGGAAGGATGGTAGGCGGAAGGAGAGGCAGCGTGGGGTTTGCACTCCCACACCCTCTGCAGTAAATGTGTTCAGGGCTTGTTAAGTCACGCAGCAAACAAAACCCATGGGGCATAACCTGAGAAACTGAGACATGAATTCTGGTTTGGAAGTCCTGACCTTGTTCAGGTTAACTGCTTTCCTGTTGCATACTGCTGCACAGCTGAGCACAGCTGCTTCTTGGAAAGGGACAGTTTTTGTGTATGTGTTTCCCAGCGTGGGGATCACAGAGATGCTGTAGGTCAGGAGCGAGTAGAACTGACAAGTCCCGAACATGGGCCTGGAGAAGGCTGACAGTGAGACAGCAGCGGGGGGTGTTGGTTAGCGCTGGGCAGTGTTAGCGGATCTGTCCTATCCCCAGCCATAGTGCTGTCTAGGCATATATGGTACGTGTAACAGGTCACTCACTGGTGTCAGGGGAGCATCCTCTTAGCTGGAATAGGTCAGGAAGAAGTACCTTAGCATACCTGTGTGGAGAAGTGATGGTTCCTGCTTGTACTGGCTGTGAAGCAAGGCAGCACTGACAGTTATACATATTGGTGGGAATAAAATTTGCCCCATGTTGAATACCCCTGCCTTCTGTCTGAAAATCAGTGGGAGATACCTATTCCAGATGTGCACTCAAATTCCTACTGATCCTGACATCAGAACAGAAGGCCTGAGTGTAGAGCAGGGCTTGAAACTCCTGGCTTGGTCACATCTGTCTCAGTGCCAGTGCTACAGCCTTTTTGTCTGTCATCTACAGAGTCCCTGTAAGGGAATTAGGAAACCAATGCTTCTGCCTAACAATGTGTGCCTCTTATTAAAGAGGTTGTAAAGCTCCCTGGGACTAGAAACAGGAAAAAAGGCATCAGGGTTGTGCAGTTTCTTTGCATCTTCTAGATTTGGGGAATGCTTACATGAGAGAGAGAGAGAGAGAGATATATATACAAACACACACACATATATATCTATCTCAATCATATGGGAGATTTAAACAGGCATGGGGTGGGGGCATATCCGGATGGTCCTATTATAACACAGGCTGATAAGGGACCACTGAGAAGTTTGCTAGATTTTGTTCAGGAATCATCCCTTAACAGCACTTGTAATAAAGAAGCAGCAATGGCATTCAGCTGTTAATGTTGGCGGACTACTGTTGGGAATGGGGAGCAGAGGTGTCGGTGGAGGTGTTCGCTCCCCTTTCTCCCTGGTGGGGTAGCTTAAGCTGAATTCAGTGGCTGGGCAAGTAACTCCTGAGAAAAGTGGTGTTTGCTGCTCTCTGCTGGTTTGTGGGGGGATGATGTGCTGTCCGTGATTCTGGCCCTTAGGTACGCAGAAGCTGAGCAATGACTCACAATAAATTACACTTGGGCTCAGGGACAAGTGATGGAGAGAAGCCTGAAGTCTAACCCAGAACCAGATAAGAAAGGAGATGCATGGCCATTTGTGCCCCTGGAATAGAGGGGGAAGAGCAGAGCTTGCAGCAAGGACCACTTAACAGCCTTTTTTTCTGAATTAGACCAATTTACTGAATTGGCTCTGGCAGGAGTCATATCTAAGGAATGTGTTGCCTCAGTGCCAAATCTGGGGTTCATATTGTGCAAATTAAACCACTTTTTCTGTTTTTGCTTTTGTTTTTTTTTCTCACCAGCACCGGCAGCTTCTGAAGGACAGTTTCATGGTGGAGCTGGTTGAGGGAGCTCGCAAACTACGACATGTCTTTCTTTTTACTGATCTGTTCCTGTGTGCCAAGCTCAAGAAGCAGATTGGAGGGTGAGGTTTTCCTTCTGGACTATGTGCTTTGCATCTCAGCTTCAGCAGAATCCTGGGTTTAGCCAGCAATTTTAGTTGAATATGAATACCTCAGACCTGGGTAACCATAATCCACAAGATGTAGTTAGACAAGGAATGATCAGCAAGGCAGCACTGTCTATTATATGAGACCTTGGCCAAGTTCTGATCTCTCAGGAAAGGTTAATTCCTCCCTCCTGCCCTGAGCCTTCCTAGGAAAACAGCATATGTTGTAGCCACTGGTATTCTGGACAAATGCTGTTTGTTTTTCTACCTCCCCTTTCTTTTAATAGGTGACATTCTTCACTTTGGTTTGTTACTAAGGTTACTAATTTTGGCCTTGCAGCTACAGCCAGTTAACAATTTTGCAGAAAAATGGAAAAGGTACAATGAACAGGTTATGTGTCAACCCCAAAGTGCAGCTATACAAACAGTTTTGTTGACATATTTCACAAATGAGAGGGGAGCAACCTTTACAGACATCCCTGCCTCAAAGAGGGCTGCTCTTCATTTGGTAGATGTTCTGCTCTGGGATAGCCCTCTCATCTTCTTGCCCTCCTCAAGCAACAAGTTGTCGCTGCCTCTTTTGAAGTACATGCTTGTGAGGAATGAACCTTCAAAAGAGTGGGAGATTCCCAGGAGTGGATGTTCTTGACAGGAGAGGTGGAGAAAGAATAAATCACATGAAACATTTGAAATGTGAACTGGTTATCCTCATGAAAGCACTGGAGAGTGGCAATCAGGAGCTGTAGTTTCTGTCTTCTGGTTGGATTACACAGAGCTTTATAGATACCGGCCCTCCTAGCTCAGGCAGGAGAGACCTGCGTTTAGACCACATGTAGCAGCCAAGACAGAGGCATGGCATGGCTTTTGAACTTTGCTTCTATCGGGGCTTCAAAGAGAGGGCACGCAGGACTGAAAGGGTTTGCAAAAGATCTCTGTGGTTTCTTAGAATGAAAAGAACTAGGTAACAAAACAAGTTGCTTTGTTATGTGCTGTACTGGCTATTGGCCCTTCTAGGCTTTCTTGCTGGAAAGGCCCTTTACCAGACTTTTTCTATGTGGGAGTCACAGTGAAGTTGTGCCATTTCTGTATCTTATCCACTATAGTGGGAAAGGGCTTTTGGGAGAGGGGGAGTTGCTAGACACCAGTAACAGTAAAAGGTTTGGACCTTCTGTCTTTCAGAAAAAGCCAGCAGTATGACTGCAAATGGTACATCCCACTCACTGACCTTAGTTTCCAAATGGTGGATGAGTCTGAGGCAGTGCCCAATATCCCACTGGTACCTGATGAGGAACTGGATGCCATGAAGATCAAGATATCCCAGATAAAGAATGACATCCAGCGTGAAAAGGTAAAAGGGATTAAGCACTCCATGCCAAGTACGGACTCACTCTCCTGAGATGAGGTGCTGATAGAAGCAGCATTCCCAGTGCTGGACAGCATGGGGAGTCATGCTAAAACAGACTGTTCAGCAGAGGCTTGTGGTGCAGCTCCGTTATTAGTGATATCCAGATGCTCTGCAGCCCATTGTTGCTTGTCCTAGTGCACTGCTTGAATGATGGTGTCCTGTGAGGAGGCAGAAACAAAAAGACCCTGTAGCTGTACCTCCTTTACTTGCATGGGACCGCCTGTGACTGCTATCCCCAAGCATCCATGTGGAGGGTGGGGCTCTTATGCTGGCTGGGACTTATGCAAGAAGGACTGGGACTGTGGTATGCCAATTTCTGGCTGTTAAAGTATGATCTTGCAAGTGATTTTGTTCAGAAGCCATGTACTTGTGGATTTTTGCAGGCTTATTTATGCTTTTGAAGCTTTTTCTGACTTCACCACTGTCAAAGAACCAGCAAATAAAAGGAGAACGCTAATTATGTTGACTGGACAGTCTGACACAGATATGGTGTCCCTGGCCCAGGCTTCTCTTTGCTTGCAAAACATGTTTTCTCAGAGGTGTTAGACCCCAAACCTTCCTGGAACACAAAAGAGAAATAAGAGTTTGAAAACTGAAAGCCTGTTTGTAGAGCAGGATATGAATAACATCGTTTGTACTGTGAGAAGTCTATCTGCCACACTTCCAAAGAACATGCTCCTGCCTCTCTGCCCTGGCTGGCTTTCAAGAGAGGGCTTCCTGGAAAAAGTGAGATATTAGGAGGAACACCATGTGGAAGAGTCATACTCACAAGTTGAAGGTGTCTGATTCGTATTTCAGTGCATCAGTGCCAACAAAGTACATGGTTGGGTTTGTGACTGGGTTTTATCTACGAAAAACTTTTGTTTTCAGCTGACCTCTGTTGAAAATGGATCGGTGGTGGGTGGGAGAGAGTTTAGGTGACAGAGTTCTGGACAGCTTCTAGAGAAGTTCCTTACACTCTCCTTAGGTCCTCCACAATCATCCTTAACTGGGAGAGCTATGGCTGCCCAGTTACATGATGCTGCTGCAACCTCTGGAACAGAAAGTACAGGGTATAGCTGGGGCAGTGGCCACACACCTCTGCAGCTTTGTCTGGGGCGTCTGGAATTGGGGAACTGAGCCAAGTCTGAGTGTAGGGATGCTGCAGGTAATATCTTCCAGAGCAGCTGGGAGCCCTGTAGATCCTGTCGACAGCATTTCTCCTGCCTGGGACCATTTGGCTACTTGGAGAGGGAAGGGACTGTGGATCTTAAAATGTCTGTCAGTGTAAATGGACGCAGATGTTGGAGGGTAATGTGTCCTCTGTCTCCCTCTCTCCCCCACCCTTCAGAGGGCCAATAAGGGCAGCAAGGTCATTGAGAGGTTGAAAAAGAAGCTCTCAGAGCAGGAATCCCTCCTGCTGCTGATGTCTCCCAACATGGCCTTCCGGGTACACAATCGCAATGGCAAGGTGAGTGGCTTTTCTGGTCGCCCTCAGTGTATGAGTCAGGGGAGGGGGATGTGTGTGTTTGTATATGCTGTTGTACCAGGAGGTCTTCATGCCCTCTACTGTCTGGCCTGAAAGCACTTGCCAAGCAGCAGACACCTAACCCTTGCTAGACTAAAAGTTATGATGACATCTTGTAAGGCTATGACTACTTTGTATGCAACACTGGCATTTAAAAAATAACATTAGAAATTAATCCCCTACCTCAGCACCTGCACTGCCAGAGCAAGAGGAACAGCTCTCGTCACGTAAGGTAACTCTGCAGCAGTTGCCTTCTAGACTCCCTTCAAGTTCAAGGCTTAGCGCACTCAGGGCTGTCTCCTCAGGACTGTAGGCTGCACTTGGCACCAGGGATGTCGAATGGTTGTGAACGATCTCCTTTAGCGCTGTGGGATGCCGAATGTGCCAGAGGTATCCCCTGCTCTGGCAGTGCTGTAACCTGTTACTGGCCTTTTCATGCACATGGCAAATGATTTTTACAAGATCCTGTTACTACTCAGCAGTGACCGGCTTGTGAATTTTCACTTTCTCAGCTTGTCTTAGTGTCTAGGCCTGTGCTGGAGGCTTTCAGGTTTCCCAGTGCAGCTGTTGTGAGGAATAGCACAGAGCTGTCATGGAACCTCATGCTGTCAGGGATGTAGCTGCTGTTTGCAGGGTGGAGCTCTGTGAAAGCTCTGATGGCAGGAGCCTGTGTTGGTACCGCTGGCACATTGCTGAGAAGGCACATTTCCAGACTCCTGCCTGTCACTGACAAAGTTGTGATGTAGGGCAACTGGCAGGAGTACTAGAAGAGCAGTGTATCCAACAATCTCCACTGGATGAGGGTGGGAGGCAAGCAGGCCTGCCCTCAGTGGTCAGTCAGACTAATGCATACTCCATTTTCTTCTCTTTTCCTGGGTAGAGTTACACATTCCTCATTTCATCAGACTATGAAAGGGCAGAGTGGAGAGAGAACATCCGGGAGCAGCAAAAGAAATGTGAGTGTCCCTCACCTGGGCATTGCTACAAATACTGTGATCTTACTAGAGAGCAAGAGTCTAGAGGATGAGGTATGGGGCAGGGTTCCATGCAAAAAGAGGGATGTGCGTTAAAATCCACAGCACAACATAGATGTCTTCTGTCTCTTCACATCTGAGCCTGTCTGGGGGGGCTTTTGCTTGCAGCAACATGCAGGGAATGTATAAGGAGAGCACTCAGTAAGTGAGTGGAGAGATTCTCCCCTAGAGATCAGAGCTCTGTGCAGTTCCAAGTAGAGGGATCAGCTGCACCCTTTTGCCTGCCTCCAGTCCAAAGAAACTTACTTTTTTGGTATGGGTGTTTTTTGACTTTGCAAGAAAATAAGAGTCCCCCCTTGTTTCCTGTAAACCATCCTGAGACTTTTTACTCCAAAGAATAAGTAAATATGCCCTCAACAGAGCTGGGCTGCAGCAGCAGTACAGACCTGAGCGCCACAGTACTGTTGCTGCGCATTGCCCAGCGAGCAGCTATCCCATGTGTGCCCAGAATGAGGGAGCATGCATCCAGCCTCTGCTTAAAATTTTAGTTCCTCCCTCTTTGAATCTCCTTGGCAGGCTTTAAAAGCTTCTCGCTCACATCGGTGGAGCTCCAGATGCTGACAAACTCCTGTGTGAAGCTTCAGACTGTCCACAACATTCCCCTCACTATCAATAAGGAAGGTGAGAACTTTGGTTTATGCTTTCACATGTTGCAGCTGCAGTGAAAATCTACCTCTGCCTGCCTTTGTGCATTTCCCCTAGAACTGCTCTTACTGTTTCTTCTTGCTATAGGTTTCAACCTGGTGATGAGTTACAGAGTTCCTGTAAGGGCGGGGGGGAAGCTGAGACCATATGTACCCAACCTGTGTAGTTTAGTTGAAGTAGATGATAACATACAAGAAGAGACCAGCAGGAACAAGAGCAGTCAGTCATCCCAATGTCATTTGCTGCAACACTAAAAATACAAGCTCCAAATTATATGGTTACATCTAAATTAGTAAAATATTCCTGGACATCCTCCAGTGTATATTCATTGACTATGAAATGGTCTTTACATGCAGCCATCATTCCAGGGATTGGAGCGCCTGGTGGAATCCTAGCCTGGGACAACTTTGAACTATACTTGGGAAATCTTTTTGGAGAACACTAGCTGGCCACAATTGTGTCAGAAACTATCCTAAATTACTATTTAATCTGCTAGTAAAGACTTAACCTCTATATTTTACTTTTGCTCCTTTGAATTTCTGCCGTGCTCTCTTGCTGACCCTAGAAATGGCATTGTAAAAGCCAGACGTTGCTAGAAAGTATTACAGGTGAAACCAACACGGAACCTGGAACTGGAAAAGTCTCCTCTTTTGCTGAAATGGCTAGATTACATGCTTCTGCCATCCTTTTTAGGAACAGTTTACCCTCTGCTTATTAACCTGTGTAATATCAATCTCATCACTCTCTCTTTCATTCTTGGCTTCTCTGTGAATGTAACAAAATTCCTTGGGTCTTTTGTACAGATGATGAATCCCCAGGTCTGTATGGATTCCTGAATGTCATTGTCCACTCTGCCACAGGATTCAAGCAGAGTTCAAGTGAGTTGCAGTTCTGTAATACACAGAGGTATTGACAGGGGTTAGGTAAGTCAGGTGCTGTGACAGCTGGGCATGGACTGGTTTAGGATTGTAGCATCTGGGATGCTACAGAGGAGGAGAGGTGATCTGCGGAACTCTAAGTGACATTGGTGTAAATTTAGGGGAATGCAATTTTCTAATGCTACTATTAATTCTCAGAAAGATACTGGGATCAAGCATGCATCTTTTTTTTTTTTAGGCCTACCCTGCTGGTATGTTTTTTAAGCAGTGTTTGCTAATCACCCAGCAGTTTTAGATACAAGTCAGGCATTAATTCTTTCAACTGTATTTTGTTTTGCAATGAAAGAATGAGAAGCATTCGCTGACATCCAGAACTTTTGGTGTGAAGAGGTGTTAAAATTCAGGGGAGTGATTTGACAGAAGGATCAAAAAAGATGAAAAAATAGACTGAAGAGAACATCTGTAGAAATAAACATGCTTCTCAGCCATTGATGAGGATAATCTAGGAAAAGCTGCAAAACTTACCTAGCCCTGTGGCGGGGGATCCCGTTCTTATCTTAGCTGCGTGTGCAGGAGGAAATGAGTGAACTGGATGTACGTGCTTTCTGTTAGCCTTCCTCC